AAATGAATGAACACTAACTGTGCCTTAATTAGATTGTGATTGAAGGAGAAAGCAAGATCGTGAGAAGGCTCATATCACGCACATTGCCTAATTCAACTTTTTATTATTGTTTATTATAGAAAATGTGTTTGAAAGAGGATATCTTTAAAAAATGAAGAAAGAAGAAGAAGAAGCAGCATATGTCAAGATTCTTACTTGAAACACACTTAAAATAAATGAACCCACTTGACAATTTGGGCAAAAGGTTGGGATATTGGGCACACTTAAGCTTGGTAGATGTCTGTTACTATTTTTCTGGGGGCCTAATGAAGGTGCTTTTCAAAGCATGATGAAAAGAATTTCTTGAAAGTGGTTTTAATACCTGCTGAATTGGGCAAGGGCTTTTGAATTGTGTAGAGCCAATGCTTTAGACTAAAGCATTGAAGAGTATTTTGCTTCGAATGGAATGGAAGCATAATTGCCGTTAGGGGTAAATAATGCCGAATATGACCCATAAAACAGTAGCCGAAAGTGACACACTGCACTCAAAATGGAAAGAAGAAAGCACACACACCAGCTTCTAGACAAGCAAAAGTTGAGGCTTAACCTTTTTTTTATTTTTTTTGAACAGCAAGTTGAAGCTTAACCCAAACGTTATTAGCTTGTCCATGGTAAAATGTAAATTAAATACAATTAATTGAATAGAAGAAGAGGTTGGTTTAACCCATAATATATTTCCGAATTAATTTATATACACCTCAAGACTAATTTATCTTTAATCTAGTCAAAGGTTGGCTTCTTTGGTAAATTAGACTAATTATTCTTTGCCTATATCAATATAAGATGCCATTCTTACATTAGACACAAGGAATCTAGATATTATTAAGACCTATAATAGCGGAAACTTAGTTGAGTCAGTACTATTTAAAATCTTAATTTTGAGGTTAAGGTCAACAAAATTACTAATATATTTACACTAGCAAATCATTCTAACTTATTTGTTTAGAAAAAAAGGTTAAAAAAAAAAAACAATAACAACAACAAATCTTTACTTACTGGTTTGGTATTGGTTTCAATTATGAGTTTAACAGTTGGGGCTAAGTGGTAATCCATAATATCTTTCCTTTAATTTCCAACTCCATTTGAGCAGTATCATTATCGAATCTTAAACCTTTTTATTTCTAAAGGAAGAAGATTAGCAAGAGGTGTAAGTTCAATTAGTAGGCAAACAATAAAAGTTTTAAATGGACGATGGATATAATTTGGCTTAATTAGCAAAAAGTTTGTCCAGGTTGGTGGGTGAAATCTGAGAATTTTTCGAATTAAGAAAATTATCCAACAAAGAATAACCAGAGGTTCACATATTATAGTTTTTTAAAATTAATGGACGATGGATATTATTTGACTTGAAGAGAGATTTGTTAACTACAGGTTCATATTATAATATGGAAAAAATATACATCAATCTCAAAATTTAAAAATAATTAGAATTTTAATTTTAAATTATATAATTTTATTTAATTAAAATTAAAATTTTAAAAATTATTTCATTAAATATTAATATTTAATAAAATAATATTTTAATTTTCAAATGTAAATTAAAATTTTAATTAAGTTTTAAAAATTAAGACTAATGCATGTTAATCTTTTATAATATTATTCTATATATATGATTTCTTTTTTGGGAAAGACTTTTCAACGGACTCACAAGGGGAAAGTAATATAGAAAACAATCGCACCTTCGTTTTCCTCCTTTTTTTTTTTTTTTTGCCCAACAGTTTTTCTTCTCTTTACTTCGTCGCTTAAAAAAGCAAAAGCAAAGTGAATATATTTACACTTTTTGTTGGAAAGTAACCAATCAAGAAAAGTAAAAGTTTTTTAACGGTGATGCAGAAAAAGAAAAGGAGCAATGCTGGAAGAATGTTGGATCAATGGGGCTTCAAAGATTTGATTTTGACGGATAAGGATTTGGGTTTATCGACTTGGATCATTACGAGTTTTGATGATAAACTAATGACTCATTTATAAGACTATTAAATGAAGCCGGCTTAACTTAACTTTTTAAAAAGATTAAAATTAATATTAATATTTTTATTATATAATTAAAATTTTTATTATATTAATCTCAAATCTAATAATTTAATAAATAATAATTGTTTTTAATTTTTAATTTTTAATTTTAAAAAATAAATTACTTTTAACCAAGTCAATTGAGATTGATTCACCCAATGTTTTGAAAACCGAATCGAACATCAAACCGTTTTGATTTTTGGTGGAGAAGACATAGGTTCGAGTTCTCTTAATGCTAAAAATGTAATTATTTTATTTTTAATTCTTAATTTATAATATATTAGCGGATTTTCT